CTCCAGGAGTGATAACTACAGGGAAAAAGGAGGGGGTAAGGAGAGCTATTTGATTGGGTTTAGAGCTCAAGGGTGCACTCCTGCTGCCCAGATGGTGAAGGGGAAGCCATGCAGTGCCAGCAGCCACCCCAGGGCCCGTTGGACCCGTTGGACCCGTCCTGCATGGGCAGACTCAGGGCTGCAAAGAAAAAGGCCCAGTGTGGAGCCCCCCCGACATCCTGACGAGGCGGCTGGAGCACAGGAGCAGGGCCAGTGGGTCCAGCGGGGCTCCAAGGACACCAGCCGTGACTCTCCTTGCCACCTTGAGCTTGGGTGGGGCTCCATTCACACCTGCTGGGGCGGCTTGAAGGGGTAAGTGAGGCTGGGGTGTCCCTGACAACATGGGAAGGGCCCTGCCCTGTGGAGCTATGTGACAGGCCCCTCCCAGGAAGGACTGAAGGTGACCTCAGGTGGGCAGCACCTCCCGACTCTCACCAGCCGACACGCCTCCTCCCTGGTGAGTGACGTGCACTGCTGGCCCCAGGATAGGAACGGGACCCTCCACTGTGGTGAGGACGTGAAGCAAACCAGGTGCAGCCAGCCCCCCGACCCTGCGCCCCTGAAACAGCCCCGTCCCTGCTGCACGGGCCGGCCCAAAATGATCTTGTGTAAATAGGGCAGGTCACCGTGGATGTCCACCATGCTGGTCACAGCCAACGCCGCCCAGGGGACCAGCAAGTTTCCACTGACCCAGGGCTGCAGTGGCTTGCTTAGGAGGAAGATGAGCTTGGCCATCCCATGGGAAGGAATCCCTCACAGCATCCCCAGGACAGCCCAGCCCCCAGCCAGGGAAACCCTCACACTAGGAGGTGGGATTTGAGCAGGACCACCCTCCCCGCAGGTGCACGCACTGCATTGTTGACCCTGCTTTGCGGGGAGAAGGTTGAGAGCAATGAAGGTTAGAGCTGCTCATGAGCCCAGCAGAGCGCCACGCAGGAGCTGGCAACACCCAGGAACCATGAAATGTGCGTCCCAGACTCAACAGAGAACAAGCTGGGCCTCCAGATGCTGGCAGTGAGCAGCACACAGCCATGGCTGAGTCCTGACACCGGGGCACACCTGCCAGGGATTGCTTGAGGCAGCAGGGGCTCCCAGGGAGAGCCTCTCCTGCAGCAGCTGGGAAGCTCCCGTGGACACCCACACACCCTCGTGATGAGTCGGCCACAGGGACACGCGGGGGGTCTCATGCTGCCATCTGGTGGTCACCCCTGGGACTTCCTTTTAATTCAGGTCTAAGAAAATGCAGCGCGGTGCACCCTGCCATACTCGAAGACCCCACATTTGTCAGCGAGGACAGACCTCACAGACTTGCCCCTGGCAGCAGCTGCTCATGCTTCTGGGGTGCCAGGACCACCTCTGACCAGTTCCTCTTTCTGGTGGCTGCTGTCAAGGGACTGCTGGACTCCTGGCTCCAGGAAGAGCTTGGCCCTCAGCAGGGGGCAGGAAGGCCAGGGTCAGCCTTTGGAACCCTGGAGCAGCGAATGGTGATGAGGTTGGCGAGCCAGGAGCTCTGGGCCCAAGCACGCCTCTGCCAGTCACTTGCCAATGGCCAAGAGTGAGGCAGGTGGCCCAGCTGTGAAATGGACAAATCCCACCTGCGTGTCTCAGACTGGGGGGGGGGGCTCAAATGACATCACACCCATCTGGATTTTGAAGATGCATGAGACAATGTTACTACCCAAAGGCACCCCAAGGGGGGTATCCATCCTCTCAACATCCCTGGTGGGACAGGTAACAGAGGGTCTAGGCACCCTGACACCCATAAGGCACTCCAACATCCAGACAGACACCCCAATACCCAACAAGCATCCCAGACTCCAGACAAGTGCCTCAATACGCAACAGGCATCTCGACACCCAGACCGAAGCCCCAACATCCAGACAGATACCCCAATACCTAACAAGAATACCCCACAGGTAAGTTAATGCCCAGACAGGTGACCCAGTTCCCAGCGGCCGCAAGGCCCCTGCAGCTCCTGCAATCCCCAGTCGCTGGCTCTGGCATGTGCTGAGGGAGGTTGTACTTCAGGCTCTGTGAGCCAAGGGCCTGTGCAAGTCTTACTGAATGAGGGCATAGTACTGCTGGGTCAGGTCCTCCCACTCGGCCTCAGTGAGGTCCTCCGTGGTGCCCTCTGCCACGTCGATGTCCTCATGCTCCAGCTTCCCCAGGTAGGTCTGGTACGCCTTGCATGTGACGTCCACAAGCTTCCCGGGAAGGCCCGTGAGCTTTGCCTCAGCATTTTCAGCATCTGAAACCCAAACACAGGCACATGGAGTGTGGACCCCCACAAGGAGGCAGCCCCGTCCACCTCATGGAGTGATGCCTAAAGCCATGGACAAAGGCAGCTCCACTCCCTCTGTGCCCCGATACCCAACAAGTATCCCAGACACCCAGACAGGCACCCCAAGACCCCACAAAGCTTCTCTGGGCAGCCACCCTGGATGCCATGCCTGCATCTGTGCAGGTGACTTCCTCCCCACTGGGCGGCCCCATCCTCCACTGGCTCCATGAGTACCACCTCCCCAAACAAACATGTGAACCCTGCCGCCTGACTCTCATGCCCCACAGTAGCAATTACTGATAAGTTCATCTTCATTAAAATGAAAAGCTTCTGCTCTGTAAAGAACAGTGAGATTTGGAGAAAATATTTGCACACATCTAATAAAGGAATGTTATCTAGAGTATGCAGAGAACTCTTTTAAGTCAACAATAAGAAAACATAATTTTATTTTTTATTTGTATTTTTTTGAGCCAGAGTTTTGCACTTGTCTCCCAGGCTGGAGTGCAATGGCAGGATCTTGGCTCACTGCAACCTCCACCTTCCAGGTTCAAGAAATT